ATTTGACACGAATAGAAAGAGGCTAGACGTTCTGTAGGCCTACCCAAACATGTAAACAAAGCCTAAAAAGTTACGTTATATAGTCTTTGTATCTATATACATACTGCGCACGCATGATAGATACACACGCACCGGAAACAATGGTTTTAGTCGGTTCATGATAACGAAATTGTGAAAAACCGAACTGGATAAACGGGAGGGAAGGAACAACACCAAGAAAGGACAGAAAGAAAGAAAAAAAATGAAAATGAAGAAAGTCGTTACCAGGAAATAAGGAAAAATGGACAAAAAACGTGATTATTGGTTATTATTGTTTTTGTTGAGATAGGAAAGGGTTGGTAAAGAGAGAGAGATACTGAAGGGAAAGGAAGAAGTGGAGGAGGAAATGAGAAAATTGATGAAAGAGCACAGAGTGAAAGAAAAAAAAATGATGATAAAGACATAGATTTACATTTTAAACATTTAAGAAAAATACATACGTGTTAACAAAAAGAAAAAAAGAAAGAAAATGTGAAGAATAAAAAGAACACTGGAACAAGGTGAACAGAAAATGAAGGAAAGAGAATCACTATTGTTCAAGATCATCATCATCATCACTCCAACTGCTATCATTGTTGTCATTTGAAACTTATTAATAATGTTCAATTTTTATTTTCATTATTATTATATTATTATAAATCTTAATTAATATATATTTATAAAACCGTTTTTATCCTTTATATATATAATATATATATATATATATATATATATATATATATATATTATATATAATATATATGTGTATGTTGTGTGTGTGTGTGTGTGTGTGTGGTGTGTGTGTGTGTGTGTGTGTGTGTGTGTGTGTGTATTATATGTAAGTATATGCAAGCGTGTTTGTGTACATATGTATCCGCTTGTGCGTCACTTTGTTATCCCAAACCTGACTCGTATTAAAAAAAGTGCGAGAACCCCGACCAAGCCCCACCTGTTTGACATCCTGAACCTGCATCTATGCGCTGGTGCTTAAAGAGACAAGGGGCGGATTACCCGGCATGTACTGTACAGCCAGCGAATGTACAGTGAATGTATTCTTAATCGGAGACCGCGAACAGGAGGGGTTATAGAGGGACATGTCACATGCTGTAACGCTATTAACATATTATTGGTGTACCGAGGGTGACAGAGCGCCGAGGTAATATATCGTAAATATTCGATATGATGTAAGCATATTGATGCAGGCGTAACGGAGGCGAGAGAGCGTCGTAAATCATACAATATCCCTGAACTGTATATACTTTGCTACACTAGCGGTTGGGAGAGAGAGAGAAAAAGAGAGAGAGGGGGGGGAGAAGACCGAGAGAGAGAGAGGTAGGGGAGAGAGAGAAACGAGAGAGAGCTGTAATATACTTTGCTACACTAGCGTTGGGAGAGAGAGAAAAAAAAAAGAGAGCGCGAAGAGAGGAGAAGGAGATAGAGAGGGGGGGGGACGAGGAAGAGAGAGAGAGAGAGAGAGAGAGAGAGACGAGAGAAGAAAGAGAGAGAAGAGGAGAGAGAGAGAGAGAGAGAGAGAGAGAGGCTGTATATACTTTGCTACAGTAGCGGTTAGAGAGAGAGAGAGAGAGAGAGAGCTGTATATACTTTACTACACTAGCGGTTGGGAGAGAGAGGGGGGTGGGGGCGAGAAGAGAGAGAGAGAGAGCTACAGCAAGTTACAGATTAAGCTGTAAGCTCCTAAACCGCCCCCCCCCCCCCTCCCTCCCTCCCCCTTAGGTCCTTCCATGATCCTTCCCCTCCCCCCCCCCCCCGCGGGCCTCCCAGCCTCCTTTCACTCCCCTCGGCCCCCCCCCCTCTCCACTCCCCTGCCCCCCCCCCTTCTGATCCTTTAGGCTTACAGGTGTACCGCGTGATTTACTCCAGGTAGGCATACCTCCACTCGCTGTCTCCCCCTCTCCCTGTCCCCTCCTATCCTCTCCTTCCCTCGCCTTTCCTTTCCTTTCCCTCCTATCCCTCATCTACCTTCCTCCTTTTCTCCTCCTCTCATCCCCTCTCCCCTCTCCCCCTCCTCCCCAACCCTCATCTAGCCCCTTCCTCCCTCCTCTCTCTTCCCTTCTCTTCTCTCCCTCCTTACCCTCTAAACTTCTCCTTTCCTTCCCTCCCTCCTCTTCCATCCTCTCCCCTCTTCCCTCCCCCCTCTCCATCCCTCTCCCCCTCCCCCTCCTCTCCATCCTCTCCCCCTCCCTCCTCTCTCTCCCTTCACCCCCCTCCCCTTCCCCTCTCGTTGCTCCTGTCCCCAAAGTAATAAGGAATGTTTTTTTCGACAAAATATGTGGTGTGTGTGTGGCCAGAGAAGTAGAGAGAGCGAGAGATTTTTGTGTGTGTGTGTGTATTTTTATTATTTTTATTCCCGCATTTACATATCGGCGTCGTTATTAACATAAAAAAAATATAATAGATAGAAAAAAAAGAAAGAAAAAAAAATATTATTATACACATATTATATACATACATACATACATACATTCACACACAACATATATATATATATATATATATATATATATATATATATATATATATTATATATATATATATATATATATATAATGTTGTCATAGGTATTAGGATGTAACATCATCGGAATGAGCATAAATAAGCTATTNTTTTTGTTATAACAATCATTATCATTATTTGGATTTGTGCAATAATATTTCTTTCACGAAGTAAATACATTCATGATGTACTAAACAAAGAAAAAAATAGTATATAAACCAAAATAAATAGAAAAATAAAAAAATGTGATTTTCTATTTTTTCTCATTATTTGCTTCGCAGCGTGATAAACCCATCTATGAATATAATTGACAAACACATAATACAAACAGACCTACAAACAACAAAATATAGATACACGATTGGTCTTAAAGTACAAGGAATGTGACCACACCTTTATGGAACGAATGTGTACCAGGAGTCATGTCAGCAGGAAATGTTAAAGGGAAACACACGCACGTATGCACACACGTGTACGCAAACATGCCTATACACGCACATGTATACAGAAATGTACATATATACATGTATACGCAAATGCAGACACGTACATATGGATGCATATAGATATAGACGCAAGTATAAACACAAAAATGGAGATAAATAGCTATACATAGACATATAGAAAGAGGGAGAGAGAGAGAGAGACAAAAGAGAAGAGAGAGAGAGAGGAGAGAGAGAGAGAGAGAGAGAGAGAGAGAGAGAGAGAGAGAGAGAGAGAGAGAGAGAGAGAGAGAGAGAGAGAGAGAGAGAGAGAGAGAGAGAGAGAGAGAGAGAGAGAGAGAGAGAGAGAGAGAGAGAGAGAGACAGACAGACAGACAGACAAAGACAGAGACAGACAGACAGACAGACTGACTAACAAACAAAGACAGACACACAGAGGTAAACAGAAGACAATAGCAAGGCAGAATATCTAAAAAAAATACAAAATTAAATGCATCACTTTTATCATCATTTCGCGATCCAATACATCATCATTTTCCCCCATGACCTCATCTACGGTTTACACTCACGAAAGAAGAAAAAGTAAATGACAAATAGAAGGGAGAGAGACCGAGATATGAAGGCAATGAGAAGGGAAATGAAAGACGAGAAAATTAAGAAAAAAAGGAGAAGGGAGAAAAAATAAGAGGAAGAGAGAAGGAAGAGGAGTAAAAATGGAAGAGACAAGGTAGGGGAGAAAAGGAGAATAAACAAGGAATTGAAGGAAAGAAAGAGAGAAAAGGAAGGTACAAAGAAATCCACCACAGCAACAGTGATAAAAAAGAACAATGCATCATAACGTTTCGAGTATAACAATATTCCGTTCAGAAAAAAAGAAAAAAAATAGAAGCCGGCAACTCACCCCCAATTTTGGGACATTCCGAATCGCTAAGGCTCTTAAAAAATAATTAAGTAAAAATAAAAGGCTGTAAACTAATAAAAAAATATATACATATATTATAGATGAATATTATTTTTCAATGCCAAAGATATGAAACACGTGTGTTAAGTCCTAGTTTATTAAAATAAAAAGATTTGGCGATTCGGATTTTCCCAAAGAGAGGGATGAGTTGCCAGTTCAGTATTTTATGTAATTAAACCCACTACAGGTTCCAAATCAGACGAAAAAATGCATGCCCAGTTTGGCTCTTATGAAAGCACTTTACAAATTATGAATAGCTGTTAACTCACTACTCCTTGTAGTTTCTTCTGACTTTTGACTCTTTGAAAACAAGACAAGCTATGGGAACCCCGGGCTTTGTTCAGGGAAGACAGGCTGATAGAATGGTAGGTGGGTAGGTAGATGGATAAATAGATAGAAAAGAGAGGAAAGAGAGGAGGAGATAGGTAGGAAGAAGAGATAGATGGATAGACAGAGAGAGAGAAGAGGAAGGAGATAGAGAGGGGAGAAAGAGAAGATGATAGACAGAGAGAGAGAGAGAGAGAAGAGAGAGGGAGAAGAGATAGATGGATAGACAGAGAGAGAGAGAGAGGGAGAAGAGATAGAAGATATAGATGAGAGGAGAGAGAGAGAGGAAGGAGATAGAGAGGGAGAAGAGATAGATAGATGGATAGACAGAGAGGGAGAGATAAAGGGCACGGAAGTGAAGTAATAAATCCGCTGTTGGTCAGCATCTCACCACACGACCACAACCAACCGAAGGCGTAAGATGACCAGAACAATATCCGGCAGAGATAGCGAACGCCCAGCCTCTCGACGCGCCCCTGGAATGCACACGGAACCGCACCGACACGTGAGCCCTTGGCCCGGGAAGAGCAGCCCGAAGGAGGGAACGAAGGCAAGCCGAGCTCCCCGGAGACACGCTGGAAACCCAGGAACGCCAGGCGCGCTGGATTGGCGTCCGGGGCCAAGGTCGCCCGGCGCCATTCTAGGTCGCCAACCTGACTTTCCAAGATTGTTGTGAGTGCAGGACAGCGCGCCGGGCCGTGACGCTCACTCTCGTTGCAGCCTTTCGTCGGCGGGAACGTTGTGTGCAGGCCAGGCCCTTCGGAGTGCAGTGGAGGCTCTGTCGCTAGACGGGCGCGAGCTGTCAGTTACGGCTTGTCTGTCGAGACTCTGTCCCAAGGTTGACGAGTTGTAAAAACCCGACTCGACGTATTAACCTCACCTGCAACCGCCCAAGAAGGCAAGCCAGGGCTGCGGCGTGCGATATAGCGGGACCGGAGCCTTCGGTCCCTTCAATTCTGTACTGTGTCGCGCACGGATAACATGGTGAGTGCCCGCTCCGGCTGCTGCGAGGAGGGGAGTGCTGTGGGGGGGACTCTGTGGCTCTGTGGCTCTGTGCGAGGAACGGGTGGAGGGAGACCATACCATGCTGTGGATCGCGCGGTGGAATAAGTTTCAAGAAATGCGATGTTTAGATTCTTTTCTTCCCTTTTTTATTACGTGTGTCCTTTCTTACTTTCTGTTCTTCATCGGTGCGTCTTTTTTGTAAATGAAAGAATGAATATTGATCGAATAGCTGTACGTTCTGTCAGTCAATGCGCGCTTGCCTGTGTCTCCACGTGTACGAACTTCTATTTGTTTGTTTGTTTAAATGCGTGCGTGTCTGCATGTGTAAGAGTGGGTGAATGGATGCGTGTGTGTTTGTCTGTATACACTTATAAAAATGAACAGATTCCTGGACGAAAAAAAACGGGAAAAAATCCAACATGACACGAATAAACAAGTAAAGAAATTACATTTTTACGTAACTTGGAAGAATGCATGACTGGAAGAATTGGAACTCGTTGGCAGGCTTTGGTGCACCCCCTCCCCCCACGAAGCAAAAGTGTGTGTGTGTGTGTGTGTGTGTGTGTGTGTGTGTGTGTGTGTGTGTGTGTGTGTGTGTGTGTGTGTGTGTGTGTGTGTGTGTGTGTGTGTGTGTGTGTTGTGATGTATGTATGTATGTATGTATATGTATATACCCAATTATTATATATCTATCTATTCATCTAACCATTATTGTAGCCAAAACCAAATCAGTTATACCAATAAACATAAATAAAACGACAAAGGATGATAAACGAAAAAATAAGAGAGAAATCACCGAAAAGGGAAAGAATCAGAGAGACAACTCGTTTTTCCGGAAAATTCGATCTTGTACTTGGTCACAGAAGAGGGAAAGGGAGTGAGAGCGAGGATATTGATGCCCGTGTGAAGGGAAAACGAGCCAGTGTCTTGGTGTAGTTGGGTAGGTAGATAGGCCTTTGTTCGAGTAAGTAATCTGGTGTAGTTGGGTGGGTAGATAGGCCTTTGTTCGAGTAAGTTTCCTGGTGTTGTTGGGTAGATAGATAGGCCTAGGTTCGAGTGAGTAATCTTGGTGTTGTTGGGTAGGTAGATAGGCCTTTGTTCGAGTAAGTAATCTTGGTGTTGGGTAGGTAGATAGGCCTGGAATCGAGTAAGTTTCCTGTGTAGTTGGGTAGGTAGATAGGCCTGGAATCGAGTAAGTTTCCTGGTGTTGTTGGGTAGGTAGATAGGCCTTTGTTCGAGTAAGTAATCTTGGGTGTAGTTTGGGTAACATAGGCCTTTGTTCGAGTAAGTAAGTGGGTAGGTTTGTTCGGTAGTAATCCTGGTGTAGTTGAGTAGGTACATATGCCTTTGTTCGAGCAAGTTTCCCTTTGTGGTTTGGTACATAGATAGACTTGTGTTTGAGTAAGTTTCCTAGTGTAGTTAGGTAGGTAGATAGGCCTATGTTTGAGCAAGTTTCCCTTTTATGGTTTGGTAGATACATAGGCCTTTGTTCGAGTAAGTAATCCAGGTGCAGTTGGGTAAGTAATGGGCCTTGTTTGAGCAAGTTTCTTGGTGTAGTTAGGTAGGTAGATAGGCCTATGTTTGAGCAAGTTTCCCTTTTATGATTTGGTAGATAGATAGGCCTTTGTTTGAGCGTTTTTTAGTGTAGTTGAGTAGGTAGATAGGCCTTGGTTCGAGTAAGTTTCCTAGTGCAGCTGGGTAGGTACATAGGCCTTGGTTCGAGCAAATATCCGTGGTTTAATTTGTTACGTATACAGGTCCTAGTTTGAGCAAATATTCCTGGTGTAGTTGAGTACGTAAATAGGCCTTCGTTCAGGTTAATTCCCCTTTTATAGTTTGGTAGGTAGATAGGCCTTAGTTCCAGCAAATACCCTAGCGTAGTTGGGTAAGTAGGTAGGCCTTCGTTCTCGTAAGTATTCCTGGTTTAGTGGGGTAGGTAGACTGGAGTAGATTGGCTTTGGTTAGAAGACGTTAGTAGATAGAAACCATGTCTTGTTTGGAGGACTGATTATAAGAGAATCAAATGGTGTTTGTGGATGGGTTGGGTAGTTGAAGTGAGGTGATGTAGGTTGTAGATTGTAGATTGGTATTTGCTGTGGTTATGAGGGGTTGTAGTACAAGTCGGGTGTCTTTTTTGTTTAGAATAGGTTATGTTAGGTAATAGGTGCTGTATATTTAATCAGATGTAGTTTGGTATACAGAGAAATACAAGTTTGAAATAATACTACATTTAGTTTATCAATTTTAAACTGTTAAACACTGTCTTATGAAGGCTTATTATAATTACTTTTTTTAGATGATGTGTCTTGATATATTTAGTATAAAGAAATCTGCTTTAGTTATTTGATTGATCTCAAGAAGTTTATCAAATGTTTTTGTGTTTTAAGAATAGTTAAAATGTTTGAAATGAACAGAAGTTGTGGTTAGAAATTATATTTATATTTGATTGACTAACATTTCAGATATATGAAATCGAAGCAAATTTGGGTGAATTAGCATTTTGTTCCTAACAATAGATTAAAGGTTGAGTTCCAGTTGCGGTTCTTTGAGTAGCTTGTTCAAAACGTGTTCACAGAGTGCCTTGTCAGTATTCCTGTCCTTGTTAATGTAAAGAATGCAGTAAAAGTGCATGGTGAGAGTAAGTAATGTTGATACCAGTGCAAGGTGTATGCAGGTGATGGTGATTGTACTGATAATACTGATACTAGTATTATTAGTAATAATAATAGCGATTCTAATGCTAATGCCAATACTGACACTAAGATTAATACTCATTCTGATACTAATATGCCTGCTAATACTAATACCTATACTACTATTACTACTACTACTAACCACCACCACCACTACTACTACTACTACTACTACTACTACTACTACTACTACTACTACTACTACTACTACTACTACTACTACTACTACTACTACTACTACTACTACTATTACTACTACTACAAAATGATAATAATGATCATAATAATTATATTAATAATAATGGGATAGCAGATGGTGGTTATAGTGTAGCAGTTACATCACTGCATGGTAATGATGATAATACAGTACATTAATGCATGGTGATTGCAGATGATAGTGTTATTAGAACTGTGATATGAATACACGATATAATACGGAACATGTGATATTAATGCAAGGTGATATCTAGCAATGATGGTCGTACACTGATAGTATTGTACAGTGAGAACAGATGCTGGTGATGGTGATAACAAGATATAACAATATTGATAACAAGGCCAAATCTAATGTCTCAAACACGATGATGATAAGCAATCATAGACCTTACAGTAGAAATACAAAAGGACAAACACAATGTTCCGAATACGATGACGACAAGCAACAATAGGCCTTACAAAGCAGAGATACAAAATCGAGTGTAGCTCTTTTTTCCCCCTCGTGAGGAGTGTAAATGGAGGTTCGAGTTGGGTCAACACTTTCACTATATTAAATATGTCACCAAACACAACCAGTCTCGTATGGTGAATGTGCAGAACGCGGGGGATTGTGGTGAAAGGAGTGAGTCAAAGTGGTGGTGTGGTGACTGTGGTGTGTGGTGTTGTGGTATGGTGTCTTTGCGTGTGATTGGGGTGTCAAGTGGTTGGTGTGGTGACTGTGGTGTGTGGTGTTGTGGTATGGTGTCTGTGTGTGTGTGAATGGGGTGTAAAGTGGTTGGTGTGGTGACTATGGGTGTGTGTGTTGTGGTATGATGTCTTTGTGTTTGTGAATGGGGTGTACCGTGGTTGTTGTGGTGACTATGGCGTGTGGTGTTGTGGTATGGTGTCTGTGTGTGTGTGATTGGGGTGTCAAGTGGTTGGTGTGGTGACTATGGTGTATGGTGTTGTGGAATAGTGTCTTTGTGTGTGAATGGAGTGTACCGTGGTTGGTGTGGCGACTGCGGTGTGTGACGTTGTGGTATGGTGTCTTTCCGTGTGTGAATGGAGTGTACCGTGGTTGGTGTGGTGATTATGGTGTGTGGTGTTGTGGTATAGTGTCTTTGTGTGTGTGAATGGTGTGTACTGTGGTTGGTGTGGTAACTATGATGTGTGGTGTTGTGGTATGGTGTCTTTGTGTGTGTGAATGGGGTGTACCGTGGTTGGTGTGGTGACTATGGTGTGTGGTGTTGTGGTATGGTGTCTGTGTGTGTGAATGGGGTGTACCGTGGTTGGTGTGGTGATTATGGTGTGTGGTGTTGTGGTATGGTGTCTGTGTGTGTGTGATTGGGGTGTACCGTGGTTGGTGTGGTGACTATGGTGTGTGGTGTTGTGGTATGGTGTCTGTGTGTGTGAATGGGGTGTAAAGTGGTTGGTGTGGTGACTATGGTGTGTGGTGTTGTGGTATGGTGTCTGTGTGTGTGTGAATGGGGTGTTGTAAGTGTGGTGGTGGTTGTGTGATGAATGGTGTGTATGATGGAATTGATGTTTGTGGTTATATGATGTTTGATGGTTCATTATGGTGGGTCTTGACTGTTGGGGATGTGGCATGATGTAGTATAGTGCGTATGGTGTATGAGGATTTAATATGGTGACTTTTAGCCGTTGGAATTTTGTGAAGCAGTATGGTGTATGGTATGGCAGTATGGTGACTCTAAACTGCCATCGAATCTGTGAATAAAATAGGATGGTACAACAAATTGCATTTCCTTTTCTCTTTCTCCCTCTTTCTCCTCTTTCGTTTCTCCATTTTTCCCTTTTCGTCTATTCTTCCTTCTTTTTCTTTCCTTCCCCTTTTATCTTATTTCCCTCTCTTCGCATCTTCTCTCCCCTTCCCTCTTCTCTTTTTTTTCCGGTTCCCTCTTCTTCTCTTCCTTCTTTCATCTCTCCTTCTCTTGCGACTTGTAGTTCTGCATTTACGTACACAAAAGTTTACGTACACAAACGCACATAGATACACACTGATACACGATCAAGTTTTTTCTTTCTTTCTTCCTGATTCTGTGGATTCTACTTTTATTTATTCATTTATTTATTATATATATCTATTCTGATGATTAATAATTTCAGAGGAAAGAGAGAGAAGAGAGAGAGAGAGAGAGAGGAGAGAGAGAGAGAGAGAGAGAGAGAGAGAGAGAGAGAGAGAGAGAGAGAGAGAGAGAGAGAGAGAGAGAGAGAGAGAGAGAGAGAGAGAGAGAGAGAGAGAAGAAGAGAAGAGAGAGAGAGAGAGAAAGGTGGGAGGGAGGGAGAGGGAGAAGGTGGGAGGGGAAAAAGAGAGAAGAAAATGGAGGGGGGGAGAGATAAAATAATAAATAATAATAATAAAAGACAGAAAGAGCTTTTCAAAACAACCTCCTTACATGGATCCTCATGAACTCTGACCTCCACCCCCCTATTCCCCTCCCTCGCACCCTCCCTCCTGCCCCCTCCCTACCTCCCTCGCACACCCCTGCCCCCCCCTCCCCCCCTGCCCCCCTCCTCCTCCATCCCCCTCCCTCCCTCTACGCCTCTACATTTCACTCAATTTCAACTTTCAACTCTCGTGAGTCGAAGAGCGATGACCTGGCTCTTGCTCTTGCCCTTATACCCCCTCCCCCTTACCCCTCTCCCCACCCCCCCTCCCCCTACCCCCCTCCCCCACCCATTCTACCGTTGTTGCTAACGGGTAAACAACAAAAAAAAAAAAAAATTCTTCTTCTTCTTCTTTTCTTTTTTTATTAAGCGTCGGATTTCTGGTCCGATGCTGTGATTTGGTGGTGTGGGTTTGGCGAAAGAATTTGTTATAGAAATATGAATGAGTGTGTGTGTGTGCTTGCGCGTGTGTGTGTTTGTGTGTTTTTGTATGTGCGCGTGTATGTGCGTGTGCTTGTTTGTGGGTGTTTGTTTGTGTGCGTACGTGTATGTATGCATTTTATTCTGTGTGTATTTGTATGTGCGTGTTTGTGCGTGCGTGTTTGTGTGCGTACGTGTATGTCTGTATTTTATTGTGTGTGTGTGTGTGTTTGTATGTGCGTGCATGTGTGTACGTGCATGTGTGTGCGTACATATATGTATGCGTTTTATTGTGTGTGTTTGTATGTGCGTGTTTGTGTGAGAGAGAGTAGAGAGAGAGGAGAGAAAGAGAAGAGAGAGAGAGAGAGAGAGAGAGAGAGAGAGAGAGAGAGAGAGAGAGAGAGAGAGAGAGAGAGAGAGAAGATAGAGAAGAGACAGAGACAGAGAGAGAGAGAGAAAGAAGAGAGAGAGAGAGAGAGAGAGAGAGAGAGAGAGAGAGAGCCTTCGAGTGTCATCCTCAGGAGGATGGAGGACGACGACGACGTCAAGGCCGACCTGCCCCAGTTTCCCTTCGAGGCGAAAACGGGTGCCCGTGAGACACCACTTGCGCACGTGGGAGGGGGAGGGAGGAAGGGAGGGGATTGAGGGAGGGGGAGGAGGGAGGGATGGGGTTGGAGGAAGGGGGAGGAATGGGGGAGGGGGAGGGAGGAAAGGGAGGGTAGCAGATGCACTTTGATTCAGAAGTTCGAGGGTATATGCGTACGCATAACGTATATGAACACATGCACACATACGCATACATATGCACAAATACGAACACACACACACACACAAACACAAACATCACACACAGGAAAAAAAAACACGACACGCACACACAAAACAAAAAGCACAAACATCCATGCACACAAAACACACAGTCACAAACACACTCGTGCACACACACACACACACACACACACACACACACACACACACACCACACACACACACACACACGCTCACATGCGCACACGCACACATGCACAAGGACAAAGATGTCGCAACTGACAGATCCTTCTTGACACAGAGCGAGAGAAACGTGTTACTGCATAAATCATATTCAAAATAGGCCTAAATAAGTAAAACAGGATTATATATGCAAAAAAAAAAAAAAAAAAATCCTTCGTTCTCCTTGCATTTTCCTTTTCTTTTCTTTCCCTCTTTCTCTCTTTTCTTCATCTTTTCCTTTTTCGTCTATTCTTACCTTTTTTCTTTCTTTTTCCTTCCTCTTTATCTTATTTTCTTCTCTTCGCGTCTTCTTTTTCTCCTTCCTTCCTTCTTCTTTTTCTTCCTCTCTTCCTTCATTTATTTCTCCTCCTCCATACCTTTCCTTTCTCTCTTTCTCTTTTTTTCCTTCTTCCTCCCTCTTTTCCCCATCATTCATTTCTTCCTCTTCTCTTCCCTCTTCCTCCCTTCCCCTCATTTCATTTCCCTCTCTTCTCGTTTCTTCTCCCCTTCCATCTACTCTTCTCTTCTTCCATACCTTTCCCTTCTCTCACCTCTTCCTTTCTTTCTCTTTCTTTCCTCTCCATCTTGCTTCCCTCTCCCTCCATTTTTTTCCTTCCCCCTCCCTCCCTTCCCCCCTATCTCGCCTCTTTCCCTCCCTTCTCTCGTCCCTTTCCCTCTCCCATCCCTCTTTTATCATCCCCCCCTCGCCCTCTCTCTTCCTCTCTCTCCTCCTCCTCTCTCTCTCTCTCTCCCTCCCCTCTCTCTCTCGCCTTCTCTCTTTTCCCTCCTCCCTCCCTCCCTCTCCCCTCCTCTCTTCTCTCTCTCCTCCTCCTCTCCCTCCTCCCTCTCTCTTCCCTTTCATCGCCCTTTTCCCCTTCTCCCCCCCTCTCCTCCTCTCTCCCTCTCTCCCATATCCTCCACATTAACCTTCCTCTTTCTCTCACCCAGGTCCAGAGTGGGCGGTTGTGGTGGGCGGTGAGCCTGTTGGTGATGGCGGTGGGCGTGGCGGAGAGCACGGGCGTAGTGGACATGGAGGTGTGTCGCCACGGTTGCTCCGCCGTGCCTCAGGACCTGTGGCCGTACTGCTGCGAGTCCCACAATACGTGCTGTCAGGAATTCGCGGATTCGTGCGTGGTGAGTGTGTGTGGGGGTGAGGGGTGGGGGGGGATGAGGAAGGAAGGGAGACAGGAGAGGAGAGATAGAGGCAGGAAAGGGGGAGAGGAGGGGGATGAGAAGGAAGGGAGACAGGGGAGGGAGAGATAGAGGCAGGAAAAGGGCAGAGGGGAAGAGAAAGTTTAAGAAGAATGTCACTGTCATTAGAGAAGGATTTCACATATTCAAGATGAGTAGTATCATGACCTTGCAAAATGCAACAAAAATGTTGATAATTAACCTACCATGTTTTGTGATGCTTTGCCAAAAAAATGTGATTAGCCTATATTTCACGCTTACTATTCAAAAATAGGATATTCATTTTAACTACTTCATACTCCTTTTTAGGGTGAATTATCTCATCCATATCCCTTTTTCCCAGCACGACTGCCTTCCCCGAGTGAACTCCGGGGACGTGAGTGTAGTGGAGGAGCGCCCCGGCCTCTGCTGCGCCCTCTACAACCTCTGCTGCTTCCGGGAGACGCCCCGCATCTCCCCCAAGAGGAAGAACGACGGCCCTCCGCCCAGCATCCCCATCGTCCACCGGTTCAGCTTCCCGACGTCCGTCAGCCAGCAGAGGGCGCACTCCTCCCCCGCCCCCGCCGCCCGGCCTCCGGCGCCCCGGGACGAGCAGCCGCGGGAGCCGCCCAGGAATACGAACCCCAATCGCCCCCAACTGCCCAGGAAGTTGCCCGGCAGACCGAGGGACTCCGATGACGACCAAGACGCACGACCCAACTTCGCGAGTGGACCCAGACGCCCTCAGCTCCCCAGGAAACTTCCCTTCAGGCCCGACGACTCCGAGGGTCCCCAACCACCAAGGAAGCTCCCGAACAGACCCAGCGACGCGGACAGACCCCAGCCCAACAGACCCAACAGCTCGGACAGACCCCAGTTCTTAAGTAAGCCCCAATCAGAGCCACAGACCCCAAGAAAACCGGTCCCCACCAGAGCCGAAGGCCTCGCTGGCCCACAACCTGCCAGGAAGATCAAGGTTCGGCCTCGTCCCCAGCAGAGAAACGACGTGGAGCCGGAACGCGCCGAGCCCGAGGAACTGCCAGCGCCAGTGCAGACTGCTGAGCAAGAGGACAGACGAGGCCCGTCAGGTGTTGAAGAAATCAGCGCTGACCCAGAAGGGGAAACTGCGCCACTGCCAATTCCTCCAGCAGTGGAAAGGACGCCAAAGATCATCTCGGTCGAAGAGAGGCCGGCGCCGCAGCGGACAGCGCCTCAGCGGACAGCTCCGCAGCGGACGGAGGCAGCGGTGATCGAGCTGGCGGAAGAACCCTTGGTCGATGACTTTGTGCTCCTCCCAAACCCCATCACCCAGGGCCAAGTCGCTGAGCCGGCCGAGAGCGTGACGCCCCCGCCAGCCATCTCCCCAGAGGACATCCCCACTTACCTCCCTATCGAAATCCCTCAAGATTCCAGCGCCCCACCTACTCCCTCTGGACGAGGGGACGTCTTCGAAGCCCCACAGCTTTCCCCCGAAGTCCAAACAGCACCTGAGCCCAGCGAGGCCCCAGCAGGCAGCCCTGAACCCTCCCTGCCCAGCCCTCAGGAGCCCGAGGAGGCCCAGTCTCCCGACCTCACCGACGTCCCCGCCCCTCCTGCCGCCGCCACGAGAGGAAGAGGCACGAGGACCCGCGGGAGGGCAAGAGGCTCTCGAGGAAGGGCGAGATCCGACACAGGCGCTGAGGAGGCTGCAAGTAAAAGAAGCCGTGGCTGAAGGCCGAAGGCGCCGGATCACGGAGGTCGACCCAATGCCATCTACTGCTAGGATTGCCACGGGCTTCCTTGGCGACGCGTCCATCTTACAAATATTCTGAAATGTTACAAAAAAAGGGTGTTACATACCGAGTGTACATATGCAATATTTTGATACTTTAGCACAGCATTTGTAGAAATCTGCTTGGCATTGTTATCGTGTAAATAATACATGCACATCGATCAATCTAAATTGTATGTATATGTCTGACAAGCTTTAAGAGACTGTTTGCTTCATTATTGTTATCGCTCTTTTACTTTCAAAAGCTTGCTGCAAAACGGCATTTTTCGATCAGCTGTTCTTGGAAGATACGAGAAGCCAAAAGAAGCCTTGTGTTTACATTTTACAATTATTCCAACGTGTCTGCATTCATAGTTTGTGATATATTGCTTCCGTCTCTTTGGCTTTTCCTTTTATACTGATCTTAATTCTTATTGTGCCAAATTCATTTACTTTTCTAATATATAAAAATCACATGTTTAATTACAGCCTCTTATATTTGTTGCTAGACGGATTCTCTTGCATTTTATACATGAAATTTCATTATATAGTTTGTATAACTTACTGTATCAGTAGAAAATTACAAATGGAGAAATGACATGAATAAAAAAGAATGGTAGAAAAAAAAAACACTTTACAAGAATCTTGTGCTTCGTTTTTTTCTTTTTTTGTAATTTTCATTCATAACTTTTCTACGCAGGTCAGTAGAAAGTGGCAAAGAATATATGTCCAGTTTAATATATTCTGTTTAGATTCCCTAATCCTTCAAAAAAACAGTCGTATGGATATATTGATTTTACTCATTGATGTTCACTGAAAGATGTTCTGTTCAACAACCAATTCTTCCCGAACTGAAAATAAAGAACAGAAGCTATTAACTTCAATAGACATTCATTTGATACTGTTAATCTACCCGAAAGCAGTGGAATAACATTTCCACTCATGCTAAACCTGCCATCTTATGTAAATTTATTATCCACAATAAATACTTTACATCGATATATTTTTTTTAATACCTACATTCCAATCTCATCTTCCAGGCACTGAAATATTCGAATTGTTTCTTATCCTTCCTATATCTTAAGCTATAAAAGATAAGTGACAAAACCGCATCGATGTTGAGAATGTCACTACATGCAAGATGATCCTTGTAAACCCTTGTAAAATCCTTAACATTGCCAAAAGAATGTAGTAATATTTTATATCTTCGTTTTACTCACAGCTTTTACTTTCTTTGTGTGTGTGTGTGTGTGTGTGTGTGTGTGTGTGTGTGTGTGTGTGTGTGTGTGTGTTGTGTGTGTGTGTGTGTGTGTGTGTGTGTGTGTGTGTGTGTGTGTGTGTGTGTGTGTGTGTGTGTTGTGTGTGTGTGTGTGTGTGTGTTAAACTACTCAATTGCAGCATTCTTCATTTATCTCAATATAGCTTATTTTTCAATTATGTCTTCAGATAAAGAGTATCAGTTCTAGCTTACACGAATTCAACCTCACCTTTGTTTGTTATATTTATGCGGCATAATTGCATTTTCTTTCAATACTGGACACATTTGTTACCTTCCAGTTCTATTTGTTCTCCTTGTTATATTGCCTTTACTTCACTTCTTTAATGTACCGAAATCATGTATTTTAAAAACATTCAACTTTATTTTTTAGCACCACTTCAGTTTGCCCTTTAAAGTGCAAATTACCATAAATGTTGCGAACAGATGTGGGCAAGGATATAGCCTCAGTGTTTTTTTGTTTTGTTTTGTTTTTTGTTTTCTTTTGCAGTACGAGAATATTAGATAAAATTACCATGTACCAAGTGTTAGAGATGCTCAGTCTGTGACACTGAATACCATGCAAACTCAGATTTGATACTTTTGCCAGAAATGTGATGGAATAAATATGTTGCAACTTTTTACACCATAACTTATGTGCGTGGTATTTTTTGTATGCTACCATTTCAGTTGAATTATTTCAAAAGTCCTTTTATATTAATATACAAGTAGCAAGTATAAAAAACATTTAGTATTTTACTGTTAAATATAATGATTTTTCAGTTTATGTAAATAACGAAAGTTAATTGGAATGCATAGGGATCATTTTCATATAACAATAATCCTACATGAATTTACCATAAAATATATTTTGCAAACTAAACCAGTATGCTTTCCTTTTTGATTACTTTAAAATAATCTAAACTGCAGAAAAATAAAAATGAAAAAAGATTGCTTCATGAAATTTTCTTATCTCCTTCTGTGTTCACTTGCACATCCTTCTAAGACTGTATCATAAAAAAGCATAGAGCACACTTCTACACAAGTACACAATAGAAATTCTGCTTCAGCCTCATGCCTCTTACTGTGGACTGTTCCTTGCTCATCGTTGTGTGGAATCTGACTACCTTGAGAAAAGGTGCCTGCAATATGTTAATGTGTTTTTTCCTTTCTATGCATATATCGCAAACAAATTAGGGTTTATCATCCACCATCTGCTTCTGCCTAACTTTGGACTGCCATATGAGCAATGTGGTGGACTTCATAGACCTACCTGCATAGTGTGAGTAGAACTTGACTGCCTACCAACACTATGCTTATATTAAAAGTATTAGGATTTTTTTTTTAAATCAAGTTAGAACATAATGGAATCCAGCAGTTTCATATAATCATTATGATATGCATACTAGAAAATAATTTCATCAATATTCCTAATAAAAATACATTGATTACCAAGGTATATGGTAAACAACACTGAATTTTCGGATTTTATTTCATATGGAAACTGCATTGGTTGTCTAATACTGATTTCTCTATTACTTTGCTCTAAATATGTTTATCAATTAAATATCAGTAGCAATATTTTCATTTCCTAAACATTCCAAAATGACAAAACACACAAAATGGCCACATTTCCACTCTTATTACTGCTGGTTACACAAGAAATGTCCGCATATAAGTCTTGGACATGTTAGTACTGTACCTAAATCAATCAACTTGCTGGGAACTGTCTGCGAGATACCTGCCTTTGTATTAACAGATTATCAAAAATCTGCAAAATATAGGAAATGTGGTATGTTATTATCAAAAACAATATTATTTAGCAGTATCTCTTATAGCATCCCTCCTCCTTCCTGTGCATTTTTTAAAGTGCAAAGAGAGCACTGAGAGAAGGGGCCTGTAGTGGTAAAGTGCACATGTATGTTCTGTGATCTGTCTTCCAATCTCCTATACGTTTTTTCTTTCTTTCTTTCTTAGGAGGGGGGAGGGAATTCTAAAAGTTGAAAGTTTTGGGAGGTTGAAAGGGTACATGTAGCCCCGTGCTGAGGCCATGAGTTGAACTAAATATGGTGCATGCATCCACACTAATCAATCTATATTCATATATTCTTCATATACCCTGACATCTCAATGTCCATCAGGCTTTTGAGTTTCTGTACTTAAGGAGGCCTGCTGATAATGATACATAAACCAGCCTTTTCAGATTAACACTTTCAATGGCTAATGGTTAAAAGCAAAATAAATGTGCTAGACTTAACACTCAGTGTGCATAACATGCCATTTGTCTGATATTTTCCATAAAGCAAAGGGATCCATTATCACTTTAGTACATCTGACAAAAATGCAGGGACACTAACTGCTATGATGCTTACCTGGTGATGTATAATCATTATTTTTTTATTCAGATCTTGTTTGGTTCTCACCTACTGTTTATTTTTATATTAGTAGTGAGTTAGTGATCAAGAGAGTGTGTGTGTGTGTGTTACCATGTGAGTGAGAGAATAAGAGATATCATGTGAGAGCAAGAGAGCAATATAACAAGAGAGAAAGCAAGAGTGTGTGTGTGTGTGTGTGAACTCTGTATGGTTAATGGTTAAAACTTTAAACAAATAAATGTGCTAGACATCAAAGGGAGAACTCTGTAGAGGCATATATGGTCAGGGTGGTCAGTTCTTTATGCCCTAACTTTCATCCCAGCATGTTGCCAGTACTCACTCACAGCAAGGGTAAACTACGCACGAGCCAAAAACATTGAGACTACAAAGCCTTCCTCTGCCAATGAGCTATGCCACCTCTAAAATTGGCTTAACAAATCAGTTTCCCTTCTCACTATTATAACACAAACTAATATCCAATTACCTTGCCAATATTTCAGATTGTATAATCAATATATGAATTAATGAATAATAAAAAAAAGAAATGTCTATATTTAAGAGAGCTATCATATACCTGTCCATATAAAGCATGATCAGCGGGCACATGGCTGTACAAAAGTAGAGATGACACCACAGGCGGAGTAACTACTCCATAAACAAGGAGTTACCCACTGATGTTGTCTGCCAATCATGTCCGCTTGTGTGGACAGGTCTTTAGGTTTATTACGATCTATGGTGTCCCTCCATTATATAAATATATGGTCAGATGTACAGTACTATTGCACCATTCTCCTCTGCATGATAGAGATACTTTTGCTTTAACACTAAATAAATAAAAGTGGAACTCCCTCTCTCAAAACATTCGTCATGATAATTCTTTCATCCTTCCTTATATTCATTTGTTGGTTCATCTGGGTTCTTAATATATAATTAAAACTGCAATCTGTAAGAATATCTTTTAATCAAACACATGTTGATCTTTTTTGCAAAAATCTGACCAGAGAAAGAGAAGAAAGAAAATGAAAAAAAAAGGCCTTATTTCCCTTTGGTTCAACTGGCCAGACCTCGGGGACATAAAGTCATGTAAAAGTTCAGTTCATCAAACCTGGTTAAGCTCTTCACAGTACATTCCTCCTTTAAGACTATATTCTAATACAGAAGTAAGTTGAGCTATTAAAGAAGAATAACTTGCACTTACACATGTATATTCTCTGGCAAAAATCACCTATCACCGTGAACCTTATCACATCAGTTGTCAAGACTTACATCCATGTAAATACTTAGTATATCATTAAAGAAATGGGGAAGGAAAAAACAAAGGACCCACGACAATAACCTTTTTTTTTCTTGGCAAGACAGTGCAGCAGCAAGACTGAATATCAGCTGTTCTTCCACTATGGTTGCAACACCATCCTTGCTATAACAATCATCATGAGGAACTTCAACATAGGTAAAAAGCACGGATGTTCGCAGTGTAAAAGGGGGATAATGAAAAAAAAATGCTATCAAAACATCTGCTGTTTTCATGAATCGCTTCTGCACCTTACAACAAAGCAATGAGTAATCCCGATAAGGGACACTACTTAAGCGTAAACTTCACATGGGGCTTAAACACTCACAATATGTGATTTCCTGACATCAAAAATTCTTAGCATGCCATATGCATTAGTTTTTTTGTTTTTTATTGATCTTTTTTCAAATCAAGAAAGTTATAGCAGCATTGATTATAATGAATCCTTTTAAACTTAGGAGTATTGCATTTCCAACATCTAATAATAGCTGAAAGAGGTTCAGTACAAAGGAACTTCATTTACTTTCTAACCAAACCAATTACATTGAAAAATTAAGGAATATGACATTTTCTTTCCATTATTACTGCCTGGGAAGCAACCCTCTAAGAACTAAAAATAATAATCATTTCATTCAAAAACATGAAGAAACAAATCCCTGACAATGTCATAAAATGCACATAACTGCAAATAGCACATTAAAATTTTTACCAACAGACTATGGCTGACAAGGCTTTTTGGGGAGACTTGTCAGAGATTGGACAGTGGCTGACAATATTATTATTATATGATGGCTTATTGATTGTGGATGACCAGGCGGAAAGAATCGTGCTGGATGAAGAAAGAGTCGTTCATGGGCTTGAGAACGAATGTTTGCGAGAATCCATGCACTGGGTCTTCATCCATCTGTAAAAAGAAAGTAAGAAATTAGTGGAAAGTAATCAAACAATGCTGTTCTGCAGGTCTGGGGAAACCTAAAAGCATTACAGTTTACATATATATACACACACACACAAAAATCATGTATTCATGTATGTACATGTTATTTTGCCATCAACATGTCCCCATATGTCTAAGAAAACCCTTTAGCCAGGTTTCCATTAGTGACACCCAGATCTGGTCCTGGATCAACCTCCAGTCTTTTGATTTAGTGAAACTCCTCAGGACTTGGCATGTCTAGGCTAGCTTTAAAATGTTTTTAATTACAAAATGGTTAATGGCCAAAACAAATAAATGTGCAAGACACCAAAAGTCATATAGCACTATGATAAAGTATTATGGCAAAAAGGGTAAAACAGGTTAATGATTAGGGCAAAATGTGTTAGATGTCAAAGGTTGTAGAACAGTATGGTAGTGAAAAGGGTGACGTGGGGGAGCAAATGAAGTAAGGTGGGGAACTTGAGGAGAATGGATATTGGCAATTATTCTAAATGTAGTAGGAATGGGAGTAGAGAGACTGGAGTGTGGATGATAGAGAGAAGTGTTCTCTTGGGTCATGTTAGAAAACTTTGGATGTCTTCAAGAATTTCTGGAAGGGAGTTTGGAGGAAAAGTCTGAGAAACAAAGGTTTTCTTTTGAGGAGGAGAGAAAGGGACAAATATTTGGTAGGAGAAGACAGTGTAGAAAGTTTAGAATGCCTGGTGTGACAAGTCAAGTGAGGAGGAGGTAGGGTAGGCACCAGGGATGTGGCAGAGGTTGGAGTATCTGGATTTAGACTAACAAGAATTTGAATGAGGGAGAGAGGAAGGGGAGGTAGACTGGTGAGGGGCAGAGATACTGGGGGAGATGCCGAGATATCTTGGGAAGAAGAGAGGAGAGGGGTGGTTCGTAGGGTAGAAAATGAAGAATGTGCAGGAAGAGGTGGAGTGGAAGATGGTGGGAGACAGGAAGGTGTGTATTCTGAAGGTTGAGTAATGACCTGGGTGGATGACTCATAATGGATAGAATTGACAGGAAATATCAAGAAGGGGGGTAGTAGCAGCAGTAGTTGCAGTCATGATCAAAGAAGCAGCAGTTGGGAAACCAAAGAAATTATATTTAGTGATCCTGAAGTATCTTGTGGGCTAAGGATTAGGTGATTTGGCATGGGAATACTATGCCCATGGGTTCCAGAGGCTGTTCAGGATAAAGCCCCCCATTCATCCTTCCTGCATAGCACTTACAACATAGGAAGTGGACAGAAGGGGATGAAGAAGAGAAGGAAAAGGAAATGGGGGGAAGAAAAGACCATGCAAAATTAGTCTAGCTGAGGGCTTAGGCCCAAGGTAGGAGTGATCCCCAAGATGGGGACTCTCTTTCCTATGCACCCCCCCCCCTTAGTAAAAATAGGCATGAGATTGGGAAGAAAGTTTATAATCATGTTAGCATTGTATAATTATTCTTAAAGTTCAAAGATGATCACAGCTTATAAGAAGATTACTGCCCAGGAAAAAAATGGCAGGATCTGAGCAGGAAGAGCACACCTAGGCATGGCCATAAGGGTGATAATCTAGACCTAGGTCCGGTCCCAGAGACAGAGAAGGCCTGCTCATCCATGGCTTTAGAGGTCTGCTGGCAATTCTACCTTTCTGTGCTATTCTGAAGGTCGGGTAACACCTATATACAGGGGATCCCCATAACATGGACTGGAAAAATAAGGTGAATATTTTATCCCATAAAAATACTTTATAAAGGGGTGTAATATGGACTGGGATCATGATATCCAGTGGTTTGCTTATGCATATAGCTTATATGTATATCCTTCAAATAATGCATAAGAGGAGAATACCTACATTTTTGTCAAAGGAAAAGTTAACATAAGAGAGAAATGCAAATTGTGAACCATGGTGTAATCATTACACGCAACACATGGTCGGAGAGATGACCACCAACTTTGGCCACTGGCACTTAGCAGACGTGACGGAAATGAGGGTTGGGCTTTGCACAGGTAGATATAAGGGGATTATCAGCTTTTACATCATTTTCTTCTTTTTTCTTTTTGTGAAGAAAGAGTAATAGTTGAGGTAGATTGATAAGGATTATCATGCATTTCACATTAGATGACTCTGTTGAAAAAAAAAGGAAAGAATTAAAGAAAGTCTATTTGTTTCCTGCTTCTTTTGTTCGTCATAAAGAAAAAAAAAAGTTGAAAATCAAGTCAGACAGTCCACTTAAGCACACAATATCAGCTGCATGTTATCTGCTTTCATTTCTGAATACTATTTTCTTACTTTCATCTTACCTAACATCACCACATAAGTAACAATTCTGATCTGCATCTGAGAGTGCAACACTACAGCAGCATCAGCTTGTATGGGTGGCTGAAGTACTCATGCATTGTTCACACATATGGTAGTTCTTGCTAGCAGCTTGCACAAACTTTCAGATTTGGTATATGCTCTTGTTATATTTTTATTCAATTTCACACTGTAGTTTCTTTTAATATTTGTTTCTTATTTGTTTTGTATGAGCTTAGAGACCAACATTCAAAAACTTTTGGAACCCCCAGATATGTGATTAATAATGCATCCACAAAAAGTCTGACTAAAGAGTGAAATGACAAATAAAGGGGATCCTCTGTAGTTCCAAATTTGTCAACGTAGGGTAACAGCCAAAGATAACTTGATATAACTTACATCCCAAAGAACAGTGATTTTTAACCCGTTGGATCCAATTGTGTCACGGAAATCACAGATCATCTTTGCAAAAGGGAGGCACAGAGTCTTGTCACTGCTCATCACCCATGAGCAGTGACAAGACTCTGTGCCTCCCTTTTGCAAATTTATTTTGTGTAAACTTTTTTTTAGCTTTTATGCCATTTTCCAATGTCCATAGCTGTCTTTTGATTTGCTTTATCCAGACGGAAATAGTTTATTTTCCTTGCACAGACTTCATTTCATCTCTCTATGTAGTAGATAATTCAGTGCAAGAAAAAAAGTATGGAAAATTTGGTTATATATATTATATCTCTCTTTTTCGTAATTTTCAGTTTTCCCTAATACAACCTGCAACGCCTGTCACAGCAGCCAGGATTACAATGTGCAGCATGGAAATGACATCCTCCCTGGAGCCAGTGCTCTTCCAGTCATGGCATTCGCATGTTACATTCCACATTTGTTTATCGACGGGAATAATGCCATAGCCCCTTTCTAAGCACCCAATAAGTCAAATCACATTACAAATTTCACTAAGGAACTCTCTTCAAATTGCAAAGGCTGTTATACTATGATGCTTCAATAAGAAGTGTATTGCACATGTATGGATGTCATACATTATAAATCAAATCTATAGATTATGTAGCCTAATACTTGAAACAGGGCCACATAACTTTCTTTTTTGCAAGGAGTGCAAAAGAAATACTGATAAATTGCAAGTAGTACACAAAAACTTTCAAAAACAAAAATAACTTAAAGGATCAATCACAAATACAAGCTTCATATCAAAACATGATCATTTCAGTTTCACTATATTCAATTTTCTAATGCATAAGATGTGTAAAATCTATGCCAGGGAAACACGTTCAATGTAAAATGCAATTCCAACTTTCCGCAGATCAAAAGTAGAACAATGATAGCTCTCTAAAACAATCATAATGATACCTCTCTAAAAAGATCGTCAAATATGCAACAGTTTACTTTAGTAATCCCAAATTGGTAGCCAAGCCAATGAAGTATATGAAATCTGAATGGTTTGGACTGAAAGATGACAAAGATTCCATAATCTTGGGCTGCTTCTATATCCAATTTAAGAGTAAATAAGCAAGCAGACAACAGATTTTATAACTAACAAGTTAACATGTAAACAGACTATATAAAATATAAAACACCTGCAGCTCTGTTTCATTTCATCTTTGTATGGTTTCCCAAAAAAGCTATCAGCCTTGTATCATACAAAAATGGACATCAATGCACATTAGATTCTATTACGCTGTCAAGTAGCCTGGAAGGTACTGTGTACACTAACTAATTAAATTGCAACAGGTGTATTCAGCAACTGCTAACAGACTACTACTAAATTAGCATTCATTGATAAATGGTGAGTAAAATATCAAAACTACAAAATAAAAACAAAAAATAAAGAGTAGTCCCTTGCCCTCCAATTATCAATAAAAAGTAAATTCTGAACACCGTGTAAAAAAAAAACATACAATAATATAGCTTGTTTTTTTTTCTTTTTTCTTTAATAAAGAAAATGTTTGATTCAAAATATTCTCTGACCTTGAATTATATCCAAGATTCATTGCTATAGACTTATCTTATGTGAAATTTTGTATACCATGAGGCTACACTTGATATTCTTCTCGTACCATGGAGTACTCATTTTATCTTAAAAATCAATGGGATTATGGAACAAAGGGGAGTTCTAGGTGGGTGAAAGATATATAAAAAAAATAATAAAAAAAAAAAAGCATTGTTCTCTAATATGCAAATTTTCACTTTATCAGTGTCCTTACAGAATACTGAATTACACTATTTAGACATCAAAGCCAAAACACTGAGCAGAAAACTGATAAACATTATATGAAAGCAAACAGAACTTTTCTATGAATAGCTTTGTCTGGCCACTAAAAATACTAACTTTCAGTGCTGGATGTTGACAACTTGCAATACCACCTTAAATGATCTAAGCTGCATCCTAGAGATTAGTCGAAGACTGAAACAACATAGATTGGGTATGCTGTTCTATTGTCATTTAAATCCTACAATCCGGAAGACATGACCATCAATTCATGAAAAAATTCAGCTTGAGGGGCAGCTGATGCAAACATGCCATCATGGAAAAAATTGATCAGGGGCCAGGGTGACTGGAATAATGGTCATGAAAATTTTTGCTAGAGGCCAAGGTGACAGGAGTATCGCCATGAGTATGCAAAGCTTAGAAGGTAATTAAACTCAGTGGATATTAAGGAAGGGGCTCTTGCATTTTTTCTATCAATAAAAGGGAATGTGCTATCCATGGACCATAACTTGAACACCAGCTACTGGGAAGACACTATTCCCATTATCAGGATCCTATTCCTGCCTGCCGTGACTAGTGGCACAGGTTGTATTAAACCCACTTGTTATTTGTGTCAATCTAATTGTTATTACTGCTGCACTGAGTTATGGACTACCTAGGGAGATATCAAGTCAAATTATCATCTAGATAAAGCAAAGCAAATGACAAATATATATTGGAAAATGGCAATAAAAGCTAAAAACACTTATGCAGAAAAAAAAAAATACATTGCAAAGGGGAGCCAGGGAGTCTTGACACTGTGCATGTGTTCATGTGCGAATGCCCTACTAGCCATACACCCGTCAGAGCAGCTCAATGCCCGGATTTTGGGCCACATGCAGGCAGTGAAGCACCCGGATCCAAGGGTTAAAAAATTGAAAAAAACTTATATATGCATAGATGTAAATATGCATGTACGTGAAAATGTATGCATGCATATATGTACAGATGTAAATATGTAGGGATGTACATATGTACGGATGTATATATGTGCAGATGTAAATAAGTACGGATATAAATATGTACAGATGAAAGTAACTGTGTATGTATGTATTGTATTTTAGTATAGGGATTTGTAATTTTTTATCATTCCAAGTTGTACTTTTAAACAAAGTAAATCAAGATTTGCTACAAGTCCCTTTAATGTAAAATAATCTTGGAAGATACTCAAGGGCAGCATTAGACAAGGGTCAAAAGTCATAACTGCAAAAAGCAAAGTATTAGTGCACACATCATCCTGAAAATCTAAGAATTTCTGCTCTCTAGTAGTACACGGTTTCCACAATTACTACCTTGCTCTTTCAAAACAAAACAAAACAACATACTAAAACAAAAACAAGCCAAACATCAAACAATCAATGACAAACAACAATGAAGAAAAAAGAAAAAAAAAGAAAAAGAAAATAATATTAATAAAAAAATAAAATCTCAACCAGCATGCCACACCAGCTCTGAGCGACACACATGTGCCTTACAAGAGAAAGATGCAGCAGAGGGGTGACTATGACGCATTTGCCTCATCCTTGCCTGGCACTTCGCACCAATGTTCATATGGCAATGTGATGAAGGGCCAGGCGAAAGAAGTCATGCTGGACGAAGAAACTGTCGCCAAGGGGCTTGAGCACAAACGTCTGATTGAACCCGTGAGGAGGGTCGTCGTCCATCTGGCGAATCGTGAGTCCGCGTGAGCCAACCATGAGTGCCAGCCACCACAAGTGGAAAGATTCAAGGGGGAAAAACGAATGAGTTGCGAGGAGGGTAAAGGTCCGTTTGTGATGTTGAAGATACTGTGGAGATCCAATCAAAAATTCCCTTTGTTTTACTAAATTTGATTTTATTATTACTTTTATCATTTATATTTCTGGGAGAGCAAGAATAGATGTTAGTCTACTGATGAATACTGAATACTCAAGAATCATGTGCCCTGAAATATGTCTGTTACTAGATTGCCAAAATCTATTTATCAAAAGGTAGAAACCACAACATATGACATACATGCACATGCACAATCATAGTAATTATCAATCTTTACATATACCACTCTGGAAATATGTATTTAAAAATTGACAGAAAATAAAAAATTATAGAACATAGACAATTAGTCATTAATCACATTTACTAATCAACAATCAGCATTTTTTGAAAAATACAAGAAACTACTATCTATTACTTTTATAGATTTCAGTTACTTGAATTAATTAACTATAAGCCAAATTTTTTTACATTGGACCTACAATCTCTCTTTTTTTTATTTCACAGAAAACTTTGACTTGAGCAGAAGTAACACAGACCATAACTTTTCAGTATCAATAGTAAAACAATTCTTGAAATGGGTAAACCAATTATAATCAGTCCATAAATTGCTGAGCTGGAATATAACCAGAATCATTCTATCAAGTATCCAAATGATTAGTTATCTACTTGCATGCACTGAACTGAACTGAAACACCAGTCAGAAAGCTCTTAACCCCATCCCAATACACTCTTCACACCTTGCGTTGTTCCCAAGTACAATCAAATAATCCAATATTCAAATATCTAAATTCTGCATAATTCAGATATTTCATGGAACAGTATATCACACACAAGACTGTCAGAAAAATGTCTAAGGTTTATCATCTCACATCGACTGACTTAAATATTTGCATCTATTCACATCAGTTTTCCCCAGAACTAAAAACTTCCTGGAAAAAAAATTCTTTATAGGATTTAATTTCTTGCTAAAAATACACGTCTCTGCCTTACTGATAAGATAATCATCTCTTAATCTTTAATCCTTGAAGACTTCATGAAAAGAATTATCCCTTGGAGCTAGAATTAAGACACGAATGGCTTAGTAACCTATTGTAAATCTGCCTTATGAAATAATGGGCTTTATGATCTTAATTCCCCTTATTTTGTTTATTCTTCTTGTGGAACTGATACACTATAGATTAAAAATTAGTGTATACAAAAAACATAAAATATGCATCATATAATATTTCTATTTATTCAATATATTTGTCCAAAGAGGACTTATCATATCAGCATGCAATCATTTGTTCTAAAATTACTAAAGCTGTTAAGGGGTTAATGTGCAAATTAGTCGATATGGCAATATGAACTAAAGTATTTTGTTAATTCAACTACAGGCATATAATACCTAAAAGACAATTCAACTAAAATATGAAAGCAGTGTTATACCTGTGTAATATATATAAAGGAAATATATTACTTGTCAACTCACTTGATTTTGCTTATTCAGAAATAGCTTCAATGTTTTGAGTTCTGTGGAAGGATATCTTCAATTCTAACTCATACCTAGTGCACAACAACATCATGTAGCTATAAATCATTAATGCAAGTCAGCCATACCTGGTGATGATGGCCATAATCCTTCCAACAAAATCAATTATAGGTGCATCAATTAATATATGGAATGTGATTATTATACATGAAAAAGACCACTACTATCAACCGCCCTCTTCGACAGGTAAAAAGAAAATGCGGTATTGAGTATGACTCCAACATGTCATAATAAATCTAAATATAATGCCAACAGAGGCAGTGACACGCATTCTCCTACTTTAGATCTGACAAGCAAATGATCTATAAAATCTAATTGAATTTCACTTGAGGTGAGGCTCTATTTTTCATAA